CTCATTAACTGCAGTTGGAACGTGTATGGGTCAAGGTGCTCTTGTGTTTTTCTTTTGGCGCTTTAGTAGTCTTAAAATCTTGCTCATACATTTCCCAACATTTCATCAAAGATGAAGGGAACAAGGTACCCTGAACTGTGACATTTGTTAAGAGACAAGGTTCTAGGAGGGTTGTGAGAGTTGCACACTTGGAGTCGAGACACAGGGCTTCTCCACTGTCATTATCTGGCTCAGTGTCTCTGGGGCATTTGTTTAACCCTTTGGCTCCCATGCTCACAGGTGTACAATAAACGGTCATGACAGCAACTTCTAGTTTGAAATGTTGAAAAGCTTATGATATAAAGCCCTCACCTTGTTGGTCAGACAATTTTCAACGTTATACATTGCAGAATCCCCAATCACTTCCCCGTCAGGTAAAATGGCGTAGATGAGCAACCGAGCGACAGGAGCAATGTCTGACCCCACAGGGACTGACACAGAAAAGTGGCCTTTCACTGGAGCGGAGAGAATGAGAGGAAGCAATCACAGGTTAGACCTGTCTTCAGGGCTGCCATGAAATTATTCTGCTGTACAAAGCCATTTGAGGAGGCTGGTCCGGTTAATGCCTGTTTCTGGTAGATGATATAATAGATAAAATAGACAGTAGGTGCAATAACTGGATGACTGCAAACTTTAGCTTTAGGAGAACTTTATCAAAGCCCCCTTTACTCTCATAAATCCTATACTGTATTGATTTCTCGCCAATTTGAAGCTTTAGCTCTCCCCTAGATAAGGCTCTGATGCTATCTAAGCATATGGAGACATCCATTTTGCCACCATTCGATCTAGATCTCACACTAGAAGAGGGAAATAGAACCTGAAATTACAGGATGTAATAGGAAGAGTTTAACACATTGTGTTTGTGGTTACATCCTCTTTAACCATTTATGAAGAAAATCTTCTACTTTTTCTCCTTAATGAAATAGTATGCTCCTTTGGAAGTTATTTTTTGATGTCTACATAGATTCTTTAGGAGTTACATTAAGCTTCCCTAAGTCAGCGATGGTGTTTCTATGTTGTTACAAAGAAGTAGCAAAAGAGTAGTTGACTGAAAGTTTTCTAGTAAGCCATCTTTTAGACACCATTAGACTAGGAGCAACCTTCGGGGTTTGTATTGCTACATATTTGTCCATGGGGAGAGTCCAGTTACCCAGTTTAACTCTTTACAAATCATAAATATCTGTAAAGGGCAAATGAGATATTTATAAAGATAGAGGTGACTCAACACAAGAGTGCATTCCAAAACTTTACCTTTCCTCTTCCCTGTTTTCCAAAACAATTCTCAAATATCTCCCACTTTGAGAAGGATGGTCTAAGAATATTTATAATTTAAAAAATTTGGAATACGTGTAGATTGTATATGACAACTTTTAATAATCAAAACAGAACATGCTGAAGAAAAAAACCCCAGATATTTGATCAAGGATGGAAAAAAAGAAACATTATTCCTTTCCCTCCCTCCCTCAAAAACTTCTTTACTGTGATTAGATGGAAATGTTCTCTCTTTACTTGAAAGTGTTCCTGGTATTTCTGTAGTGAAAGGCTGGATGTGTCAGAATGGGGCAACAATGTGCTTATGGAAGTACTCACTATCTCCCTGTTCCACAGGCAGTACATGAGTTCCAGTTCGGACAATGCCTCCCTTTGCCATTA